TTTCCTTTGTAAACCAAAAATTGTAACCTATCTTCATTAGTGAAATTTCTCAAGGTGATCACCAAAGAGGATGTAGGCAATTTGCTGAACCTCTATAAACACTTGTGTCATTTGTGCTTGGTTAATTTCTGTGTATGTGTGTAAGACTCATCCATCATTGAGTTCTTTGTCTAAAGTCCATCAACAACAAGATCTTAAAAGGGCAGTGAGTTAGTCATTAATTCACAACACCAGTTTCACCCAGAACAAAAAGCTCAGATAAGCATACAAGGATAGTATAAACTATAGTAATTTTTATCTGTTTGATTAAAGTAACCTGTAGTATAAACTATAGTGACTCTTCCCTGGAATCCCAACCAAAAGGTGAAGTGTAGAATAGTATAAACTATAGTGATTCTTATATGTTTGATTAAAGTAACCTTCTGATTGAAACAAAATAGAAGGATCGAATCATTTAACAAGTTGTGATGATCTCCAAATATGTCCAATGGGCTTCCAGGGCCATTCTATAGATACAATAAACAACATCAGGTCTACTTATTTAGAGGCACCAAAAAAATATAATATCCTGATTCTTCTAGCAGCTTCATGTTGGACCGTAATTAGAGTATGGAAAACAAATTAATGCAAGACATCAGCAAGCGAATAATGCATAGCTAATGAAAAAGACATTTGTTCTATCATGTACCCAATTAAGTTATCTTCCACCCAGAACAAACAGCTCAGATAAGAAGACAAGCATAGGATAATACCCTTTATGCCTTGTTGCACTATACATTTTTATGTCATTTTAACTGTTCAGGGAAACTCAAAGAAGAAAATTTAATTTCTTCTCAGTCTCATGGACTGTAAAAATCTATTCAACAACATTTCCCAAACATATTCTAGGAATCCAGTCAAGATGCAAGGTGAAGTGTAGTACAGCCTAAACGATATCTGGGGTCTAAAATTGTTAGCACTTTAGATTTGTCAGGATTTGTGGGACTATATTTTGTACTGTTGTATGTTGGGGCTCCTTGTCTATAGTGATGCATTCACATACTATCGGTTGAATTAAAGTAACTTCCTCTATTTATTTTTATTTTTTTAAAAGAGAAACGATATATTGAAAAGGTGGATAAGGCATCCACAGACAAACAAACAAAACACAGAAACAGCCCTAAAAAGGCCAAAAGAAACAAAAAGAATAGAAGGGAAAGGAGGTGACGTGAAAGAGGGACACAACCTCAGTTCACAGCCGCCACCAAGTCCAGCATAATGACAGAAGGGGAGTAATCCTTAAAAACTGAAGTAACTGAAGCCCAAGGAGCAGCCCAGAATCTAGCCTTATTCCAAATTTCATTGACACCCTCTCCCTAGAAATCGAAGATTCTTCTGTTGCACTCCGACCAAATATTCTATAGAACTGCACATCAGGCAGTCCCATAAAGTTGTGGCTTTCTTCCCCCTGCCAAAACCCTCGAACTTTGTACACAAAAAATCAAAACAACCTTTTGGAATAACCCAGCTGGAACCAATCTCACTAAATAACTTCAACCAAACTTATAAGGAAAAAGGACAATGTAGGAACACATGATCCAGGTTTTCCAAATTAGATTTGCACAAAACACACCACTGAGGAGAAAGATAAAAGGAAGGCCTTCTCCTTTGAATTTGATCACAAGTATTAAGCTTCCCAAGCGCCAGTAGCCATGCATGAAATTTTATTTTTGGGGGAAACTTAGACTTCCAAATCTGGGAAACAGACGAAAGATGCATGCTGCCATTGTTGCGAAGAAAAAAATTGTAGGACTTGCAAGAAAACACCCCCGACTTATCAAATCAATCAAAGAAAATATTGTTTCAAAGACAATGAACTAGTTCACAAAACCATCCATCCCACCAGGCACAAGAAAAACAAAACAAGATGTAATTGTCAACAAAATCTTTTCACATGGATTGTTCCAACATTTCGATGATCTCATACGGGTAAACAGTATACCAACATTATATTAATGATTTTCACATCTTGTTCAATTGTTTTCCTTCAACTTATGCACTGCTTTTTTAATCACTAAATCCATATTACAGGTTCCTTTATAAGCCAAACTTATCCCTCAGCCTAAACAATCTGAATTTGGTTGTGGTATATGAAACAGCATAGCATGCTGCACAAGAAGTACATAGCAAGGAGTAAGAAAGTTGCCAAACTACTGTTTCCAAGAAACCCATTCAAAATTTAAAAAATTACAGTAATTTATTAAACTTCAGACCAACAACTGGATTACATGACTGACAACACTTGCGTTGTTTTGACCGAATCTTAAATATGGGATTCAAGGAAGAGCATATTAAAATTACACACCTTGTCCATGTAAACCTTAGCCATTGTTATATGTTGGAATTGCTTACACAACTCATCAAAGATTGGAGTTATCCACTTAAGGGCTGCAAAAGAAGTATACAAAAAAGGAGAAATTGATTGCAAATTACTTGATTGATGAAAGTAAATTTATACTTGAAAATTTGAAAGTAAATTCATTAATTAGAACTTACTAGCCTGACACCCAGGTGCAGTGTAGAAGAAAACCACAGACAAACGTTCATCTATTCCAACGAATCAGAAAAATAAAAAAAAATGCACAACAAAACTTATTTTCCTATTTTGAATATTTGTAAAATTAAAGAAGGGGACGAAGTTGGTGGAGAAACTGGCATACCTTCAACTTTTTGACGTAGCCTATAATGCATGTCGAGGGTCTCAATGACGTATAGGTTGGAGGGGCCTGAAAGTAAAGTATGTGAATCTGCATCTACGAGTGAGGAGAGGCATCGTCGCTGTTGCAGAAATTGAAGGTTTGGGGTGTGAAGGGAATAATAGGACAAGGGTTTGGAAGCGGAACGGATATCGATGGTCTGTGGTGAAGATGGGGCGGTATTTGATACTAAAGTTAGGTTTTGGATGGGTTTGCGGTGAAGATGATGAAGAAGACCTGCAGCACTCGGGTGGTTGCAATTGCCAAGCAACTGCCGTATAAAAACCCCTGAATTCTTCGCCATTTTCGTCTCTCTCGCTTCGCTTCTCTTCTCTTCTTTTCGGTCTCTCTCCTGCACTTACAGTGACCTTGTTCTTTTGAGTGTTGGTAATTTTGTATTTGTTTTTAGGCTTTTTATCAGAAATGGTCTAACTTTTGCGAAATTATCACATTTCGTCCCTAACATTTTTTTGTGACACTAATGGTCCTTAAAGTTACCCTCTACACATCAAAATGGTCCTTGCCGTTAGCTTCCGTCAAATTTTCTGTTAAGTTGCTGACGTGGCACGTGTGTAGAGCCCACACATCCAATAGTATAAAGCCACGTGGCTTTAAATAAAATAAAATATATTTTAAATATTTTAAAACTTAAATCCATAAAAAAGAAAAAGAAAAATACTTGCCCCTGCATTCTCACTCTGCCTGCGCGCTTCCCCCCTTGCAGACCCACCTCTTGCCTCTCTCTCCCTACTCTTCCTCCTCTTTCTCTCTCTCCCTATCCCATATGATTACATAGAAGAAGATCTTCAAAACCAAAGTCCTGAGCTCCTCAAATACAACCTAGTTCACAAGAAAATCCCCGTGCTCGTTCATGGAGAAAGGCCAATCTGTGAGTCCATGATCATAGTCGAATACATATATAGAAGAAACATGGCCACAGAAGTACCCCTTGCTGCCCACTGATCCTTATGAGAGAGCCATGGCTCGGTTCTGGGTTAAATATTTCGAAAAAAAGGTATATATATATATATTCACATTGAATAACTATAACCCACTATTCTATATTGATTTTTTGACCCTCCAATTAAACCAAAAATGCATCTCTTTGGCTAAGTGAAAGAACTGGTTTATATAAGGTCGTGGATTATGGGTAATTTCATTTACATGTTCTA